TTAAAGTTTGTTCAAATCATGACCCCCGGGGCTAGGGTGGGGCCAAAATGGCCGACCCAAGTTTTACATAGGGATATATAGGGAAATCTTTTAAAATCTTCTTTTCATGTACTTCAAAGCTATGATTTGTGATATTTATATGGAATCATCCTCAGGTAGTGTAGATTCTAGTTTGTTCAAATGATGAATGCCTGGAGGGGGGTGGTGGAGTAAATTCAAGCCTGATGTGCTCAGGTGAGCGCTGTGGCCCCTGGGCCTCTTGTTTAAAATTTTAATGCAAAATATTCTTACCGTAATTATGTGTCTTTTGTATTCTTTTAAGATGATTATTTTAGCTAACTTCTACAGGTATATGTAGACATTTCCCGGCTGTGATTATACTCGGCAAGATGATGGAAATTAAGAGGCATTCAAAAATTATTTGTAATAGATTAAATTTTCAAAACTAAATAAGTAATGTGCTGTCGTAGTTTTTATTTAACAGAGATATGTACGAGAGAGAGAGATAATTATTTTTCCTAAATATTCCAAGCAGTAAAGGTAATCAGTTTTTTTAGATTAGCAAATCCATTTGACAGTAATCATTGGGTTTTTTTCCGTCATCAAGTTCACACGTTTCACAGGAAGTGCACGTGTTTCTCCTGTCACTCAATATCACTCGACACAGTGGAGGCGTGGAAATCACGTTTCACCGAACATGCTGAAGGCAGTCACTTAGTATTTCCAAGAAGTTTTAATATTTTTCCCTATTTTTTCTAGATCTGATTTTTGCATTCCAGCAGAAAAATAAATAAATAATGGGAATATGAAAATACTCACTAAAAATTTTATTCCGGGAGAAAAGGAACGGGGGGGGGGGGGGGGGGGGTGTTAATTATACTGAATGGCAAACATATATTTAGGTACGGTGAAAGAAAGAATTTTCCTTCTCTAATAATAGACTGTTTTAAGCAGTTGGTCTTTTCTAAAATTTAAAATCAAGCTATCGATCAATTTAATTAGCTCTAAAGATATTTAATGAAGTAAAATTATCTGCAGTACTGTTCATACTTCTCAGACCTACGTGTAGTTTAAAATACGTTTTACTGTAGAAATATTTTTTGGTGTATTCTTGTCTTGTAAAAGTCACTTGGATTAATTATTATACATTCATTAATGATTTGTCGTCTTTAACATTGCAAAAAATTGTTGCCGTGCATGAAGCATTTGTACACTCCCCTATTTTAAATTTAATATTTTAGCATTGTTCTACATACATGTAGGTACTTAATGTATTATTTTCCAGGGAAATTTCATGAATAAAGTAACAGCTGAATTATAATAATAGAAATATGAATATCATAGATGATTTTGCAATGAAATAATTATTCTTCAAACACAGTATCTAAGTTATTTAATTAATAAACGTGTAAATCCTTACCATCAAAAAGATAAGTCCTTTCACTTCGGAGTTCCGAATGACAATGAAGACTGAACGATAAGTGAACGCAAAGTAAACGGAACGAAGAGCAAACGGTGAACGCAATAATGTGAACGGAAAATGCACGCTGAACGAACGGTGAACAAATGCTGAACGAACGGTGAGTGAACGGAAATATGGGAAAGTAGAACGTTTCAGGGACTGTATCCCACCTCTTTCCTTAATTTCTACTGGATTATCAGGGCTCGACATTAACTTTTTTTCCTACTTGTCCATTCGGACAAGTGACCAAGATATTTACTTGTCCGAACTTCAACTTCACTTGTCCGAAAATTTCTCAATGAATGTCTTGTTATGTCAACTTAAAGACAATCAAAAAATTAAATGTGCTTGATTTATTACTGTTGTTAGGCCAGCATTTTTTTATTTTTAGGTTTACGAACATCAGAATGAAAAAGTCCCGTAGGAGGAGGAAATAAAAAAAAAAAAATTATATTTTGGATACATTGTCGACTTTTCTACATTAATTTTTGCTTCTTTTTTTATGCTCTCCTAACAGGCCTCTTGCCACTGGACACATAAGGGTTACAAAGGGGAAAATACAATCTTTAATTATTTATTTCATCATCTACCAGTTGGGGGCAGTGATATAAATCTTTTGATGTTGGACAAAATACAGATTTTTAAAAAAAAATCAATTTTTAAAATCTCTTTTAATATATCTTCATTTTTGTTTTTAATGTGTGTTAGGTAGAAATTATTCCAAAATATTATATACTTGAGACCTATAAAAGTAATAATTCCTTTCATAAAACAGACAGGGAGTATTCCCAAGGAGTATTGAGGAGTAGGGTGGAATTTTTTTCAGTTAAGTGTAAAATAATTTTTCTGGCTGCCATAAACGATACTACATGCCTGTATATATTTGTTTATCTTGGACAGGCGCAATAAATGAAACAAAAATTCTTATGGGTTTTATATTTATTTGGCGCTGTTGGGCACGGCTGAATTACACAAAATATTATTTCGGGCCTCCAAAGCAACGGGTAGGCCCAGCAACAACAACAACATTTCATTTCAACAACAACAACAACATTTCAGTACAACATCAACATACAACATATCAGGTGACCTTGACCCTGGGAGATGCAGAGGTCAAGGTCACATAATAAAAACTTGCAATGCAAGAATAATATTCACACATCCATGACTCTGGGAGGTGCAGAAGTCAAGGAAGCAAAAAAACATAGTTTTGTTTACACTGTCACAATATTTACATGGTATTCAACTTTGACCCTGGGTGGTGCAGCGGTCCAATAATGAACAAATATTATATGATAGTTAAATTGATGTATGCTGCTCAGTTCACAAGTTCACAGACAATCTTCAAAATGATAGCTGTGCCGGATATGTAGGTACAGATGACCTCTTGCCTTGTATTTTCCACTGAAAAGAAATAACAGAAACACCAGCAGTATCTATTCAACAATGTATATTTGGGGGATTAAGGGGAGGGAGGGATTTTAAATCTCTATACTTAGTCGTTTTCTAAAATTTGAATAACACCAACCTTGCAACTAGCGTGTAGCCGGCAAAGAGAGAGTTTGCCGCATGAGTGCTTTCTTTATATATAACTGAAGGTTAGATAACTCGTGCCAAAATAAGGAGAGGTAACTGCGCCAAAAAAATTGCGCTGCCAAGATAAAAGCATCTTATTCGCATATAGGCGAGATAGATGCCATATTATCTTGGACAGGCGCAATAAATGAAACAAAAATTCTTATGGGTTTTATATTTATTTGGCGCTATTGGGCACGGCTGAATTACACAAAATATTATTTCGGGCCTCCAAAGCAACGGGTAGGCCCAGCAACAACAACAACATTTCATTTCAACAACCAACATATCAGGTGACCTTGACCCTGGGAGATGCAGAGGTCAAGGTCACATAATAAAAACTTGCAATGCAAGAATAATAACACATCCATGACTCTAGGAGGTGCAGAAGTCAAGGAAGCAAATAAACATAGTTTTGTTTACACTGTCACAATATTTACATGGTATTCAACTTTGACCCTGGGTGGTGCAGCGGTCCAATAATGAACAAATATTATGTGATAGTTAAATTGATGTATGCCGCTCAGTTCGCCACAAGACCCCAGTCGTATATGCTTGAACAAAGCATCTACGAATGGGGGCGCTGCCACTTTAGTAGTGGGGGTCCTGAGCGGCCTGAAACAGCCGTGACCCTTCCTCTCCAGATATCAGTCATTACCGTGATGGATAGAACCTGTATCCATGCCTAATAATTGCTTCGATACCCCCCTGGATTGTGTTTAGAAAATTTCATTTCCTAACTTAGATAAATGAACCCCATCCCTTTCAAAAAATCGGGCATGATTTTTGATGTCAGGGTAGTGGATAACAGAACCCCCATTTTGACAAACTTTGTTAGAGAAAAATGCATTTAACCTTTTTCTAGTGTTCTCCATTGCCAGGTTATTTGACGAATAACGCCAACTAATGCGGGGCAGAATATGAGACCATATTACGTGAACCAGAGGAAATTCCTCCTTAATAAATTCCAAGAATTTTATACCTAACATTCTTAATTTTCTTACTGATGTTTTCCCGATATCATTTCCACCACAGCCCATACCGAAATTAAGTACAAATTAAGTACAGAAAAAAAGTACAAAAAAAGGTCAAAAAAAGTATACTTTTTTCGACTCAATTTGGAACCAGAGATTTGGTCGTTCCAAATTGAGTCAAAAAAAGTATACTTTTTTTGTGCTTTTTGAGAACTTGTGTTCTCAGTCACAGAAGAAGGATAACAAAAGTATACTTTTGGTACATTTCTATATTTGACCAAGGTACATAAAAAGTATAATTAGAAGTACAAAAAAAGTACCTTCTTAAAACTATTAAACATATTTAAGTACCAAAAAAGTATACTTCTAGAAAAAGTACAAAAAAAGTATTCTTCCAGAAAAAGTACAAAAAAAGTATTCTTCTTGAAAAAGTACAAAAAAAGTATACTTCTAGAAAAAGTACAAAAAAAGTATTCTTCCAGAAAAAGTACAAAAAAAGTATTCTTCTTGAAAAAGTACAAAAAAAGTATACTTCTAGAAAAAGTACAAAAAAAGTATTCTTCCAGGAAAAGTACTAAAAAAGTATACTTCTAGAAAAGTACAAAAATGTATGCTAAAAAGGTGTTAAAAAAGTACAAGAAAAGTATACTTCCGGAAAAATAGTACAAAAATGTATGCGAAAAAGTTCAAAAATGTGTGCGAAAAGGTACAAAAATGTATGTAGAAAAAGTATTTAGAAAGTACTTCTTTTAGATTGATGGTTTAAAAAGGACAATAAAATGCATTAAGATCTGATATACCAAAAAAAAATTAAATCTCTTAAACTTACAGAATTGTAATTCAAATGCATGAAATTTTGACTATTTGAAATATCTCCATTAAATCATTCATTATTTTCAGTTCTATAAATCTTCCATAAATAGAGAATAAATTGGAATATAAAATCATCTATATAATTTTATAGAATAACAGTTTTTAATCCTTTTGCATCTAGTCACTACATGGTTGGAATCTCGAGGTAGGGGTGTTCCCAACCCCCCAAACTGAAATTGCATCCTACAGGCTTGTCCTGTACATGGATTTGTCACTGATTGATCACACTCACAGATCGCCTACACTCCTAAGTCTATTCAACCAATCTTTCTCTCTGTGATCTTCATTTGAATATGCTATGTGGTTTCACCCTTCAACATGTCTAAGCACTTTTCCTTGGGTTCTGCAAAAAAGTTTGATAATCAATTTTTTTTCCAGTTCTAAATTAAACATCACAGTTCTCAAAAAGCAGAAGTATAATTCATAAGCTAATACATGGCAGACTCACATAGTTAAGTACATGTATCATATTATTACTGGTTTGATATGATTTTTAAATTTTTTATTTTACAAAGTCAGACTACATTTAAATTTTAATATACTTACAGGTGATATGATACAGTTATATTGTTGAGGTATTTTCCCATTGCTCTGCATTTAAGTCACAGCAAAAAAAGGCACTTCTGAAAATTATAGAAGAAAAATCAGATAACTTGAACATGTAGTTGAAAGATTAAGATAACTCTAAAATTAAATTCTTAAGTTTCTTTTAAAAAAAATCTGTCTAAATTCCTCATGTTATATAACTTGAAATTTACATGTACATAATAAAAAAAGTATCCATGTGCCTCAATATTGAAGCAACCCCCACCCCCATTTGAAGTTCTTTTCAGCCTCGAAAGATGATCAGTATATTTTAAATGATAATTAACAAGTGCAACTTAAAATTTATCAGATGCATGTAAATGCTGATACTTATAATGCTTGTTTATCATGTTTAATTCCCCAGTATTTAATTTATTTGTATTGACTTACCCCCCCCCCCCCCTTCAATCTCAACCCCACCTTACACACACTATATACATTCTGCCTTTTAACAAACATCCATTTACTATAATATTTATTTTACAAACTTTAAATCTTACAAAATTCAGTAGACTTAGTGTTTTTTTTAAATCAGCCTAGACTTATAGCTAGGCTACAAAAATGTATGTACGTAGCCCAGTGAACGTTTCCAAATACTGAGCAGTGCTGATTGTATTATAATCTTATTGCATCAATATCATATTGAAACATTTTAGGAAATAAATATAACAAGTAATTAAATGATTCATGTTTCACAGAGCCTTAGAAAAAGCATGTTCCTAAACCCATTCAGTTAATTCAAATGTAATTTTACATCGTCATACCGATCAAAACAAACCAGAAATCGAAAACACAAATGCCCACATTATGTAAAATCTATATAGAAATTCTTCATTAAATACATTTCTATAGTGGTGAAATACATTTCCTACAAACATTATCCAAATTTTAAACATAAATATAGCCTTACCGACTTCAAAATCTCCATTTTTGGTCTCAGCATTTCAATCACACCAATTTTCAAATCGTCTCCGTAAAAATCCGCGCTTCGTTGTTGACCAATCGTTGACTTTGAAAGAGTCACGTGATTAAAAAAATAAATAAATAAATACAGAATTAGTTCATAAAAACATCAGAAATTCTCTTAATAATGTTTTTAAAATCATTAAATTTATTTTGAAGCCGTTTTTTGTGCAGTACTCGATATCTAGCTCTACCATAATTGCGACCGCCATATTGTGTAATAATCGTCGCCGCCATTTTGTTTGTTTGTTTTTTGTTTTCAATAAATTATCGAGTTCGATTTGTAAAGCCACAAGAAATTTTGAAATCCTTGTTCACTGCACAAATCCTAATAAAATTTACAGTCTTCAATCTCAATGTTGAATTATCTTTTATGCAGGCAGCATAGACGTTTGCACATGCTACTAACTTATATTTCGTGCATTGTTTATACCTGTAAACATGATGAAAGTTCTTTGTGATAAATAAAACGATAGGCATGGTGCATCTTGGAGGCTTTTGTATTTATATTCGTTCCTTGCTATTTCCGTTTATTAGAACTACACTTAGGTGACACTTATAATCATCAACTAAATGTATCAACTATATTTTACCCTTATTAATTTAACCTGTATTTCTCAATACTCGGTTTTAATCCATTTTGTTCACCACCTAGTCAAAATTATCACGTGTGATATCGTTTTCCCAGAAACTCTTGTGAATTTATGTGCAAGTTTCCACTTCACCGTCTAGACAACAAAGGTCACCGAGTACAACCACCTGTGTCACTTGAAATAAACATCGTTTGCAGAGAGAGAAAGAGAGAAAGAGAGAGAGAGAGATGTAAAATATAAACAGAATACTTGTTCATGTTAATATACATAACTCCCTTTCCAGAAATTTTACCTTTAAATAATTTAATATTTCCACAGCCAGGGGGAGATCGAGAGAGAGAGAGAGAGAGAGAGTTATTTCTGTACAGATTTACGATGTAATTTCCATCAGGTTTACTAAATCTTGATGATTATAATGAGTTTAGGACATAATTCTGTTAAACATAAAATGGACACAGTATAATAGAAATACAAATACTGTATAAAACACCCCCTCATTTCCCTGCAACAAATATGTACTAATTAAATAGCCATATATTATATATATTATTATGCTAACACCATAGTTGAATTCTGAATGCTCACATTAGAATAAAACTTTCCTAAATCATAGGAATAATTTAATAATTATTTTAATATGAACAAATTGCTAACTAATTTGATAAAAATTGTTATAAAATTTCAAAATTAATTTGAACACAATGGAAAAAAAAACTAAGTCCAAATTAGGTACATAAAAAGTACATCCTTATTTTTCTGATTTTGCCAAAAAAGTTTAAGTCCAAGAAAAGTACATTTTTAGTACATTGAGAAAAAACTAAGTCCAAATCAGGTACAAAAAAAGTACAGTGGAAAAAAACTAAGTTCTATAAAGTACAAAAAAAGTACTGTGGAGAAAAACTAAGTCCAAATAAAGTACAAAAAAAGTACATCAGCTTTCAGAGGCTGTCTGGCCAAGTACAAAAAAAGTATACTTTTTCTGACCTTTTTCTAAAAAGCACAAATTTAATATTAAAAAAGTACAATAAAAGTATACTTTTTTGTACTTTATTTCGGTATGGGAGTGCACAAGGATGACGTTAGGGTTAGGACCAACTTTTTTCAGCAACCGCAATTTTGCTACAGCATTCTTAAATTCTATACCACTGTAACCTTGCCACCAAATTGAAATATTTATTCTTTGCAAATTTAAATCACACCTACCAGGCCTATTCTTAGCCTCTGCAAAAGCCCTTTTAATAATTGATGACCCAAACAACCATACTACTTGAGAATCTGAAATAACAACTCTGGGTTAATTAAAATCTTGGAATACGTATGTAGGTTTTATAGCAATCAGATTTCCATCTTCCTGAGGATTGAATAACTTGAGATGAAAACCCCTTTAAGGCCAATTCCGTACTTGCCCCAATCCGAAAGGAGTGGGATTTGTAGCCCCAAGACTCAAGGTTTAGGGCTGATATTGCTTTGGATAAAATCGAAGTAAATTGGTACTTAGACAGGGGAGCTCCGGAAAAATGACAAAATAATGGACCCCCCTGAGTAGGTCTATTTTCTAAAAACCTTTTGAGATTAGTGCAGGGGCAAGTTACATCCCCTGTGCCATATATCTGCAAAATTGTACCCCTACCATATTGGTCAGTCTTTGAAAATTTTATTTTGAGGAATAGTGTAGTGCTATTGTCGTCAAATTGGATGTCTGTATAAGCAACAACTTTATCTGAGGATTTGCCGGAGACTGCCAGTTCTCCAGCTCTAAGCAGGCCATAATATGTGATAGAAAATGCAGCTGAAAACAATGAAACCTCATATGAACTTGTACATACACTTGGTAGAATTTTAAGAACTGCTCTAATATGGACTTTGTAATGGGCAACCTACTGTCACTACTGTGAGCTGTGCGTTTCAAACCCTGTAACAACTTTTTAACTATAAACTCTTCTGTTGGATCTTTATGACCTTGAAGTTTGCTATTGTAAGAAATAGAAGCCAAGTAGGAACGAACTGTAGAAAATGCAAGGCCTTTAAGTGACAAATGCGCAACAAATCTAACAATCAAATCGCAGGTGGGTGGCCAAGGGGTATTTAATCCTTGTTGTGAACAGCAGCTGAAATATGCTCTCATGCCTATTTGATAAGCTTTGCTAGTGTTTTCGGATAATGCTGCCCCTAACAACTTGTTTATTTCATGCTGGATATGAGGTTCTGGAATTCGATTGGTACAGGTTGTGGTGAGGTCTGTGCGTGTGGTGCAGCCTGCCGGAAACGGTGCCACTGCTGACGAGAAATTGAATCGGCAATAATGTTATCATTTGTACGAATGTGAACAGCACGAAAAAATATATTGTTTAACATGCAATCTAAAACAAATGGGCGAACTAATTTCATAACTCTACTGGATTTTGAGGACTGTTTATTCAAAACCGAAACCAATGCTGCATTATCAATATGAAACAGTACTTTCTTATTTGCAAGTTGACTACCCCATAAGCTAATGGCCAAAACTACTGGGATAAGCTCTAGTGTTGTCATGTCACGCAATATATCTGAAGTGACCCATTCATGTGGCCAAGGAAAATAGCACCATTGCCCTTGAAAGTATGCTCCACAACCCAGGTGTGCAGAACCAGCACTATCTGTATACAGATCTAAAACTAAATTTGATGACCAATCACTTTCTTGGAAATAAACTTGACCATTAAATTGCTCTAGGAAACTTAACCACATAAGCATATCTTGCTTCATTTCATTGTTTAGTTTAATATGATGATGAGGCTTAGACACACCATGGGTTGAATCGTACAATCTCCTGACAAATGCTCGGCCAGCAGAAATAGCTTTTGTAAAAAAGTTTAGCTTCCCTAACAATGACTGTAACTGACGCAAAACTATTTGTTTTTTGCTTAAGTATTCATGCAGTATGTACTTCAATTCAATACATTTTTCATGAGGTACTCTGATTAACATTTGCACTGTGTCAATTTCTAAACCTAAAAATACAAGACAGTGAGTGGGATAAACCGTTTTGTCATCGGCTAAGGGGACCCCCAGTTCAGTACAAACTCCTTGAAATGTTTTCATTAATTTAAGACACGACTCCCTATCCTCCCGTGCAAATATGAAATCATCTAAATAATGATCTAAAGTATCAAAACCACTCTTTTTTTCAGTAATCCAGTGCAAGAATGTTGCAAATTCTTCAAATACCTTGCACGAGAGAGAGCAGCCCATTGGAAGGCATTTATCAATGTAATATAGACCCTCAACTTTGAATCCTAAAAGGTCAAAATCCCCAGGGAAGATAGGTAGTAGCCTAAATGCTGATTTAATATCTACTTTTGCAATAAAAGCACCTTTACCAACCTTTGCCAACATTTGTACAACTGTATCAAAGGATGTATAATGAACTGTGGACTCACTAGGGTCTATATAGCAATTTACACTGTTATCCGCAGGATATGAAAGGTGTGTTATCAAACGCCACCCAGCGTTATCCCCCTTTGGT